ACCTCCGATCCTACGGAATCAGCATCTTCATCTTCGACTTCTGCGTGCCTCTCTTCACCATCGTCTTCTCTTACATTTCCATCGTGAAGGCCATCTTCGCCCACGAGGCCGCCATGAGGGAGCAGGCCAAGAAGATGAATGTGTCCAACCTCAGGTCAAACCAGGTAAACCTTCTTCCATTTCCTAAGCCAGTGAACCTCATATTCCTATATTACATGTATAAAACAACTGAAATACCAATAACTTCACTGAATCCCTTCACTATCCATGACAGGATGCCCAGACACAGTCTGCCGAGGTGCGCATCGCCAAGGTCGCTTGCACCAACGTGGCTCTGTGGGTGGTCTGCTGGACGCCCTATGCCGCCATCGTCGTCCAGGTTAGTGCACTCTCTCACTTCCATCATGTTGCTTGTGACGCTTTATCACTTGCACTGTTGCAAAGTACGACATTCGCTGAACATGTTTTTTTCTCTCCAGGGGTTGTTCTTCGGCCAGAGCTCCATCACGCCTCTCGTGACCATGCTGCCCGCCCTTCTGGCAAAGTCTTCCGCCTGCTACAACCCCATCGTCTACGCCATCAACCATCCTAAGTTCAGACTGGTGAGTGAGAATATAATCAGTCAATAGTGGGATATATATATATATATATATATGCTGGATTCAGTTTAGAGTGGTAAATCCCTTAATAAAACCAGTATTTTGAAGCTTACAATGTTATATGTAATAATGAAACAGGGTCAATGCAATAGCTGCTAGTCACAAATTCGGAATGGATGCTGTGGAACCCTACCACTCCAAAATAAACGTTTTCATAACCACTACACTCAAAAAATGAATATTTTTTCATCTTATCAAAACACAACTGAGATACGAAGCAAGTGATGTGCAACCCTGATACCACCCTAGGCTCTCTTGAATAACTCTTCATAGAGATACTACTTGAAATAGATTTCGTTTTCGAAAGCACTGCTAACCGGAACTCCGTACCTCCCTCCCTCGCAGGCCCTCCAGAAGCAGATGCCTTGGTTCTGCATTCACGAGAACACCGAGACTTCCTCCTCCCAGTCCGACACCAAGTCCATCGAGACAAAGGAAGCCAAGGAGGATGCTTAAGAGCCTTGATCTACTCGAACACAAGGAAGACTTAGTCAGTCGGAAACATGAGAGGCTTTGCAGTTCATGTTGATTTATGTGCCTCATGAAGTCGGACAGAATCTCTGATGATGACAGGACTTCAGATCTCGGATTCAAACGCCGCCAACGTCATATTCGATTGTATTGTCGTACGGTGTACTGTCATAGGAACTAAATTATCTTAGACGGTAGTTAACTTTCCCTCCGACTGAAATAAACCTTGCAACTGAGAAAGATCTTTCATTTACAAATCAAATTCACATATGTATAAGTGTAAACACCCACCCACACACACACACACACACACACACACACACACACATATATATATATATATATATATATATATATATATATATGTATATATAATATACATATGTAGATCTGGTCTAGGTGCATTTCAAAGCTGTTGTCTCATATTCATTAAATCTAGTTTTTGCATTGTGGGTTTTCTACCATAGTACCAACACAGAAGGGTGTTTTACCATTCATATATTTGTATATATGCATATATATACTTATATATTTACAAAGAGAGTGAGATATACACTTACATGTATATTTCCACATGTGTATGTATATACATATACAAACATAGATATATGCCCACACACATATATAATATATACATATACATACATATATTTATGAGTGCGTATAAATATACTTATGTATATATATATATTAGAGACATTAATACCATAGTCGACATCGACTGAAGATGGCCGTCGACATATATATATATATGTCGACGGCCACCATGCCTGGCCGACAGAATGTGGAGTGCAAGCTGTTGCCCATGTAGCATGCTCCCTCTCTCCACGCAGCAGATGGATCCAAAGGAACGGCGTTAACCGATACGGTTTGACACAGGGGCGTCGCAGGAGTTGCCAGAACGAGGTCGCAAGTGACAATGAATTGCCCTCGGGTCTCTGGATTTTCATCTTATATATACCACAAGGCAGTGGATTGTTTCGTACAGCCATAGCCTTTGGCCATGACAAGACATGGACTGAACTTCAAAGCAGCAGTAAGGCATCACTATTGTATCTAGGTAAGACTAACCCAAAATTTGCAAATCTGTGTGTTTGCACGTGTGCGTGCGTGCGTGCATCTATACAGACATGCATTGTGTGTGTGTGCATTTATACACACATGAAAGTAAGCACACACATGTGCACATACACGGATTTGCACATTTTGGGTTAGTCTTACTTAGATACGATAGTGATGCCTGACCATTGACTTGAAATTCAATCCGTGCATGGCCAAAGGGTATGGAAGTCCACCCTATATATACATACATATATATACATATACATACATACATATATGTACATATACATACATACATATACATACATACACATACATACATATATGTACATATACATACATACATATATGTATATATACATACATACACATATATATATATAACCCTTCGACCCGACCTGTTCTCAGCTGCCCTGTGGTTACCGCGTTGCTTCTCTTCTCTCCTTCTTATACTCCTCCACCTTTCCTATTCAGACTTGAAGATGAAATCCACGAGGATTCTAAAATGTATATATATACACACACATATATATGTACATTATACACACACAGACATATACTGTATATATATGTATGCTTGTATATATAAATATATATTTAGATATATTCAAATATGTATGTATCTCTGTATCTATCTCTATATCTAAATCTATCTATCTATATATACATGCACACACACACACACACACACACCAATATATTTACATATATATATATTTTTTTTCTTTTTCTTTCGGCTTCTCCCCTCAGGGGTCGACACAGCGGAATGATCCGCATCATGATCTTGACTTCCCTTCCTACCCATTCATCCGGGCTTGGGACCGGCACTGGCCATGCCACTGGATTGTGGACTCCCATGTCTGTAGGCAGACGAGATGAAGTTCCTTGCCCAGGGGAACAACGCGCTGGCCGGTGACTCGAACTCTCGAACTCATATTGTCATGACAGTCTTAGAGTCTAATGCTGTAATCACTCTACCACCGCGGTCTCATACATATATATATATAAACATATGTATATATACATATATACATACATATATATACTTATATACATATATACTTATATATGCATATATGTATGCATGTATTATATATATACAAAAATGTATGGACATATATAGATCTATATATGTATATATACACATACACATATACTTATATTTGCATATATATATGTATGTATTGTACATATACATATATATATAGGTATATAAATGTATATATATACATATACCTATATACATATAAATATATATGTATGTTGATATACACATGCATAGTTATATATATATATATATGTGTGTGTGTGTGTGTATTTGTATATAATATATATGTATATATGGACATACATGCATATACATACATGTATGTATATATACACACAAACATAAACAACAACATATATCTCATTTATAGACATATAGCCTAAGGCACACACATACAAATTTAGTCAAACTGATAACCATAATAACAAATCGTAAGTCAGAGCCTTGCGTTAAGTTATCTTTTATCGCCCTTGATCTCCTTAAGTATAACCTATAGTCAAAGAGTCAAGAGAGAGATAGAGATAGATAGACAGACATAAAGAGAAAGAAAGAACATACAAAGTGTACTCTGCTTTCTTCACAGCGTTTAGGTTAATGGGATTAACCAAGCTTTTGCAAGGAGACAGAAGTATAAAGGCAGCTTCTCGAGTGGCCTCTACGCCGTGAGCTTGCCAGGCAGTCGTTCCAGCAGTCGTTGAATCACACCTCTCTTCAGTTGCTGGCGTGTCCCTGAGGTGAGTCCCAGGCCAGGGGGCGTTCCAGTCGTAAAACACACCTGTTTCTAGTCGCTTCTTAATGTTTCTCTATAGAATATATATATATATATATATATATATATATATATATATATATATATACATATACACACACACACACATATATATATATATATACACACATATATGTACGTGTAAATTTATGTATGTATGTATAAATACATATACATATATATACATAAATAAGTATATATATACATATTCATATGCGTATATTATGTATATATATACATATTCATGTGTATGTTATGTATATATATTTGCATATATATGTATACACATATATAGGTATACATACATATTTATATATGAATGTATACACACACAAATGTATGTATACACACACATGTATAATATAAATATCTTCTTCATCAGCCTGACTCAATTTACTGCAGGACGTAGGCCTCCTCCAGTCTTTGCCAACATTTGTCTAGAGTTTTATGTTTCCAGTCTTGGCCCCTAAATTTTGTTATGCAATCTTGTTATTGGTCTGGTCCCTGTCCCTGTCTTCTTTATGTAATCTATAGCCCAGTCCATCCCAGTCTTTTTTTGTCCATCTGTCGTCCTGTCTCCGACATATATGACTTGCCAACTGCCATTTTTTGAAGTATGTCTTCTACTTTTGTCTGTTCCCTAATCCACGTCGCCCTCATCCAATCTTTTAGGTTAATTTCCAGCATCAATCTCTCCATCCCTCTCTTGCCACTTATTAGGTTCCTCTTCAGTAATTTGGCTTAATTTGCTTAATTTCTTGTTCGCTTGATAAGCCCCTCCAGTTGGCCTTGTCTAGTGTGGACTTATGGGCAGCAACGTACAGGCCTACTCACTACACCAAGGTATACTCCCGTAAGCATGGGCTTGAATATAAGAAGTGCATATATGTTGGGATTATATTTCTACATTTCATTTATGCGTATGTACACCTAGTGCAGACATAGATGTCCACCCATCAAAATACCTAAATACCATGCATATGTTCATTTTCGTGTATGTGTACATGCAAGCACACACCTCTACATATGCTCCTGTGATATGCATACATATTCCTACTACACACATGCACATGCATACACATATATATGCACATCATATGTGCATATAAATGTGTATACACACCCACATATATGCAAACACACACATGCGCGCATATCTCGTACACGTACTTATGACTATACATACACACATATATATTGCCATTCATATGCTTTCGCACATGTGTATGCGCACAAATGTTTATGAGTACACATTAGTGTTTACCCACATATATAGATATACACCTGTACGTGCATATATATGTGTGTATATGTATATATATATATATATATATATATATATATATATACGCACTCCATTATAATGAGCCCATGTACTGTATTGTGCATAAATTGTTGGGTTGCAGTAGAGGGGTTGAGGGAAGGAGGCGGGTGATGTGGGAGAGTAGGATTTAAGACGATGCTGGAATCGAGCCAATAGTCGGAGCGCAGACATTTTTTTAACTGCCTTGGAGGGGAATTGAACTTGGGACCACGAGGGTCGGAGTCCAGTGCTCTATCAAGTGAGCCACTGCGGTAGTATATATATATATATACATACATACCTATATGTACTAATTCATGTAAACGTACCAGTGTACAGTAAATTAAATCTTTTAGTATTGACTTCATGGGTTATGATAATAGCAATTGTAATAACAAAACATATCAGTTAATTTAAGCTCCAGATAAATGCATTCCAACTAACTAAATGTACTTAATAACATTTTCTCAGAGCTGAGAAGATGGTGTTCGTCAACGTTTCCGGCCCTCACGCAGAGGCCTACACCGCTCAGGTAACCTTCGGGTACCCTGAGGGTGTCACCGTGGTGGACTTAGTGCCAGAGAACATCCGGCACATGATCCACCCTCACTGGAACAACTACCCTCCGGTCAACCCCATGTGGCACTATGTGCTTGGTTGCATCTACATCATCTTGGGCTGTCTCTCATTCTTTGGTTAGTGCTTCTCCCTAGGGTGCCACTACTGTCCTTTTGTCCTTTTTAACAATAGTGTTAACCTCTTACATACTCACATTATGACGCTGATGAAGCAATCAGATATTA